AAATTCAAGGAAAAGGAAATCAACACCATCAAGGAGATAATCAGTTCCCATCCAGGTCTGAATTAAAACTCTGCTAAGGACATCACTGCAGTCCAGGGATAATCTGGATTTGGGCCATTCCCTATTTTATGCTCATCCAGAGCACGAGGACCCCGGGGGATCTCAGCCCTGCTCTCCTGGTCACCCGAGATCTTGTTGCACCAAAGACCTTGTGCAGGTGCAAATCTACCCCCCCAGCACATGGGCTGTGGTGCCCAACATCCTCCAGCTGGCAGGATCCCACTGCCTTGGGCTGGCAGGGGTGGTCAGGATCACCCAGTGCCACCCCTGTCACGGGCAGGGACACCTTCCACCAGCCCAGGCTGCTCCAGGCCCTGTCCTGCCTGGCCTTGGGCACTTCCAGGGATCCAGGGGCAGGCACATAAGTTATCTCATCATTAAATGTAAGATATCCCACTTCCATTGCCCAGTAGAAAACCGGGAATGCTGCAGCTGAGCCGTGCCTGGAGCAGGGAGCTTCCCGTAGGACTACATGGAATGTGATCATTAAATGCTGCTGCCAACCCTGGCACAAACAATGACACTCCTTGCTTTGCTTGTGCTGGCATTCCATGGCTCTGCTCAGCTCAGGCAGGATCTCCAGGGCCATTTGAGTCATTACTGAAGTTTTCCATAGACATCTGATCCCATTATTCCCTCCCAGCCCAGCCAGGGTGCCGGTTCAGGATTCTTGCTTCCCAGTGACACACCTGGATGGTGAGGAAATCAAACCCAGCTCATAGTCCTAGGGCTGGATGGAGCATTTCTGGAGATTAAAAAATCCAATGTATATCCCTCTTTGGGTCAGCCAGGAGGAAATAAGGCTTTGGTGGGTATCTCTCCCAACAGAGGGGCTCCATTGCTTTGCCCAGTACCAGTGGGAGGACAGGGAGGAAGAACCAGCATCTCCCACAGTTCCACAGGAAACCAGCTGAAGAAAATTCTAGGAACACTTCAACAGCCAAGCAATGGAGCTTTTCCAGCTGGATGTTCACAGAGCCCTACACTCATCCTGGACAGACACAACTTCCAGCTGTACAGGTACAACTGGAACTCAAAGACACAGCGAGGCTTTGCTGGTTCCTGGGGGGGGCAGGACAAGGAATGTCTTACCTTAAAAGCAGAGAGAAATTGTTACCTTGGCACTGAACTCACCAAAAGACCAACAGGGAGGGTTTGGAGGTGTCACAACAGCCATGCTCAGGATATTGGATATGAGTTAAAGCAGAGCAATATTCACTACACACAGACAAGGCATTGCTGTAAAAACTTCAGTGCAACAAATGTAGTTGTTGGCTGAGCCAAGATTTTGCCTTTTTGACAGAAAGGCAACAGAACTTGGGATACTTCAGGGATTACAAGGATTCCATCAGATCTCCTCCCCTTGAGCCAGGCAGAGCATTTGATCCCAGAGGAGAGGGCCCTGCAGTTGTGTGTTCACTGAAGCTTTTCCACACCAACCCTTTCCTGCCCTTTTCCCAGGACCCAAAGCATCTGCTTTGGCCTTGGCAGACACAATCCCTCCCTTTTCCCCATCCTACAGCTCTGGGGGACTGCAGACAGGGAAGATGCTGCCATCTCTCTCCTACTGGAATCACCAGTGACAGAGCTGGGCAGGAACACTTCACATCCAGGTGTTTGAACATCGTGACCAAAACAGGCAACAGACTTAAAGTCTTGATGTTCCAGATAAGCAAAAGTACTGAGAGTGTTCTTCCCTCTGCCCATTTATTCTGTTTGGGTAATTTATGATCAGATATTGATCATAATTTTAGCATTAATATCCTTTGGTCATATTGATCTGCAAAACACTTTGGAAGGACTCTGTTAGAAAAACAACATCCAAAAAGCACAACACGTTGAGATGTGTCCAAACCCCACGTATAAAGGAAAATAAACTGAGGTTTAAACCTCGAGGATTAATTAAGCAAGGTTTAAACCAGTCTATTTTCTTTTGGTATAAATTGAGCCTATTTTGTGTTGTGTCTGACTCCACAGAACTTCTCCCCTTCCTTACTCCCTCAGATTGTGAGTCAGCTTTTAATTTTTCCTACAGTTAATAATAACTTTAATATTAAACAAGCTATTTGTTGCTTAACTTCAAACCCACCTTCCATTCTAAAGCTTCTGATTGAATCCCAGTCCAACAACTCCAGAACCATCAATGTCTCTATTCCAGTGATTTTCCTCCTGAACACTTACAGCACAATTTCTGACACCTTGCAGGAAATTGGGGATTTTTTTGCTCAGCTTTCAGAAGAACCCATCAGGGGAACTGGCAGATCAACTACCTTAACATTGAAATGTTTAATGAAAAAATGAATGTTATTAGAGGTTTGTAATACAGACTAATTTGTACCTTCTCTCTGAAGAACAGGGACAGTTCTTGTGCAGAAACACCCAAAACCCACACAGGTCTCACACCAGACTGAGCAACAAAGCAGGAAACCACAACCCACAGACACCCACACTCAGGGACAGCAGGGGAGGAGGAACAGCAGGTAAAATTCTGGTGGCAGGAGGAAATCAAGTCTTTTTTATTCAAGATTTCAGTTTGAACTCCTGATTCCAGCAGGTTTGACCTACTGGCACTCCTTGGATGCCAAAGCACAGGAAGGGGCAATTTCCAATTTGCAATCAGAACCAGAGCTCAAATTTACTGCTGAAGAGAGTCTGCAGACTGAGGTGATTCAAACCCTGAGTTGGAAAGCTAAGTAGTGTTTTGTTAAAAATAAAATAAAATAAAAGTCAAATCAGATCCCCAAAAGACAGACTGGAGAATGTTCCCAAACCCAACCATCCAAATCGACCACTTCAGTTATTTTTGTCCACGCTCAAGTTAGAAAATGGTTCACTGAACACTGAGAAGGAAGGGTCATTAATGAGTCCTGGGTTACCTTCAGCTGATTGTTGAAAATATCAATTTCCTGCAGTTTGGATCGGGTTTCCTTCTCCACCTCATCCAGCTGGTCCCGGAGCTGCTGCCGTGCCAGCTCCTTGGCTTCCAGGGCTCTTTTGATGGTAAGAAGAGAATCTCCTGGTTTTAAACACATTGGCAAATAATTATTTCCTCATATGGAGCCCACTGGGTCACAGAAAGCACCGTTTTTCAATATGGAGCTTGTGACACACAGAAAGCAATTCCAGGGGACACTGGGAGGAGGGAACGGGTCCCACCCAGAGTGAGACACACCCAAAAACCTACTCACTGTGCAAACTGTTCTGCTGGACTTGCTTGAGCTGATCATTGAGCAGCTGCTTTTCTGGGATCAACCTCCCCAGCATCTGCTGAGACTCCTGGATCCAGGACAGGGAACACAAGCACAGAGACAGGCACGGGGTGAGCGAGGGGTCACTTCAGCCACAACAAACAACTTCGATCAGGAACAGAAAGACAAATATTTACAGTTTATCTGAAGGAGAGAAAATAAAGACTTTCCCTCAAAAGGAATATATTCTGGCCAAAAGCCATGAAAAGTGAGCTCTGTGAGGTGAAAATCCTCGAGTCCTCAGTCTCTGGACTTGGTGCTTGTGGAAGGGGATTATGATCTTTCTCACACTCAACACATCGTTGTAAGATTGTGAACTGATATGTTACAGGGGTCCCTGCAGATCAGAAATTCCTCCTTTGGTGGATCATTCCTATATATACATTTATATTTATGTTTCATAAAGAATCCTTGCTCTTTCTGGAGGATGAAGAGCTGCTCCACACACCTTTCAGAAGCCCTGACCCCCAACTTCAAGTTGTCAAACACATCACAGCAGCAGGAGGGGAAAGAGCTTCTTTTATCAAAGATCATGAGTATGGACACCCCAACTTCCAGACAAACAGAGCAATTCCTTGGAGCAGCTGTCTGGAATTGCAGGCTTTTGAGGCCTCAGCCAGCTGACAGGTTCAATCTGTCAGGAGGGATTGCAGGTGATATCACCTCACCCGAGGAATAAATGTCACCTGAGTGCTCAATCCCACAGTGAGTCCCACAGAGGTTGTGGACTCCCCATCCCTGGGAGTGTCCAAGGCCAGGTTGGACGGGGCTTGGAGCAACCTGGGCTGGTGGAAGGTGTCCCTGCCCATGGCAGGGGTGGCACTGGATGGGCTTTGAGGTCCCTCCCAACCCAAATGATGAGTTCCACAGAAAGTCGTGGTTTTTGTTCCAAGACCACGGGATTGGCTGCACTGACACGGCTCCAGATTGTCCCACTTTCCTCCTGCCAGGCCTTGACTGGGCTCTGCAGTGCTCAGCTCACATCTGATGGTTATGCAACGACTGCAGCCTCCTGTAATCTCCTTATGTTCCAGCAAATATCCCGAGAAGGCACAGCAGAGTCAAGGACTTTATGAATCCCCAAGGTAGCAAAATTCAGCTGGAGCAGAGCTGACTGTCCAGCTGCTCTGCCCAGGGCACCTCTGAGGCCCCTTCCAGCCCAAAGCACCCCGTGGGCCTGGGAGTCTGAGAACCCTGCAGGTCATCAAACAGCAGGATGGGTGTCAAAACAAAACAGGATTTACAGAAAGAGTTCTTCAAGCACAGAAAGTACCCCAGGACAGCATTTCAGGGGGGAATGAGATCACCACCTCGGGTGTTTTGCTTTCAAAGGCCAGAACACTTCCCAACTCCAGATTACTCAATCCACTGAATAGTTTGGAGAGTGTGTAAGGACAGAGAACGCCAAGGGATCGTGAAGGTCAAATTCTGTTTCCTGAAATCACAGACAACCCTTGGAATAAGAACCTATCCAAGAACATCCACCAGATGGTTTTCCACATCCTTTCCTTGTACTGGATAAACAGATGAAAGACATTAATGGCACCACTAACTCTGAAGTTTCATGCAACAAGAAACGTCCAAGAATTGAGTAACGTCCCACATGGCAGTGAAATCAAAGCCCAGTCCCTGCCCCTTCAACAAGGGAAAGTCTTCTTCAAATTCCTTGGGAGCCAAAGGATTCATCAAGGAGAAAAACAGTCCCTGCAGGTAATAAGCAGGTCACAGATCAGGGGTTTGGAAGGGAGGGTCCTTCTGAACATCCCTGGAAATGCCACTCGACCAGACAGATCCAGATAACCAGCACAAACTCCCATCAGCCAGGATTAAGTGGTGCACAATTTCTGCCACAAGTTTAATGAAACTCCCTCTTGAAACTAATTAATAGGTTGAAGAATAATTACTCCTTTGAATTGACTCATCTTTCCATAGGGAGTTTCAAGTGTATTAAACTAAACTATTTCCAAGGGAAGGTACCTCACCCTTCAGAGCTAATGCCAGTGCTGACTTTTTAACCTCTTTGAGAGTTTGGAGGATTAAAATCTCCTTTTTTAAACCTCAACTGATTTACTCTGTCCTCTAGAGATGAGACAGAAAAATTGACAGGATATTTGAAAAAATAATGGTTTTTTTCAGAAAAAAGCTTTTAGGTTCTCCCCAGATAAAATCTGGCCGTTTCTCCTAAGCAGTGACACAGTTTTTGGGATAAAAACACCTCATGTGACACTGCCTGAAATATCAGTGGTGGAGATCAATCAGCACCTGAGGGAAGGTATTACCACAGAGCCACAGCTATTGCTACAAAATCACCCCAAACCCAAAAATCCAACAGGACAGCTGCCAGGGAAGGCAAGAGTGGAGCTGGACTGGAGCAGTAGGATTAGGGTTTAAGTCAGGTTTTACACCTGAGCCCTCCTAACCTAAGTGTGAGATTCTCTTTGCAGAGGCAGAAACACACTGAGACACCCCCAGGACAAGCCAAGAATTAATTTCAAGCAATATGAAATGTGTAATGAAGAGAAAAGTCCCTAAATTAAATCCTATAACCCCCTGGGAACCTTTACAAACCTCAAAGCACATTCTCTCCCTAAAATCAGGCACCTCCTCAGTTCCACTTCCATTCCACAGAGAACTTCAGATGGAGCAGCAGGAAAGGACAATGCCAGGGCTAGGCCAGGAACTAACTGGCTTCACTGGGAACTGCAGCTTTGAAAGTTCATTATTTTACAATTAAAAATGGATCATCCACAAGCCATTTCACTGAAGTTGAGCCTTTCTCCCAGCACACAAACTGCAACCACTGCCAGCAAAATCCACGCCATGAAACCCCCTTCTCCTCGTCCTCCCAAACATCTGAGGCCAAACAACTTCTCTGCTGCTCCCCACAGCAGGACTCCAGGAGGATGAAGTGATAAGCACAGACACAGCTTCTAGTGTAGGCACAATTCCTGGATGGGTCTGAAGAACATTAATTTCCAGGAATGACAAATTATCTTCAAGGATAATTTCAAGGATATCTCTTTCGGGGCAAGGAACAGCACAGCCCATGCTGGGGCAGCTCTGCTCAGGGTATCAATGCCAAAATTCAAGGCTAAGAATAAAATCAGAGGTTTTCTCACCTGTAGCTGCTGCTGCAAATGGGTGATTTCTGCAATTCTGAGCTCTCTGGATTTGTTTGTACTTTCAATTTCTTGTCTTTGGGTCGACAGCCGACACCTGATATCCTGAAGTTTTCCCTCCAGCTGGTTCCTTTTGTCATTCTTGAAAAGGAAGGAAAAAGAGCTCTGGTTTTATTTTTACCAGAACGTTTTGTCAGGCGGGTCAGGATCTAAAAAGTACTTTTATTTCACATTTACAACCGAAATTCTGGCAAATAAACCCGGCCATGGCACAGCCACTGTCACACCGTCACTGCCACACCATGCCTGTGTGTTTGACCCGGGATCCATCACCTACCAGAGCTTCCAGCTCGAATTCCAGGGTTTTCTTCTTTGCCTTCAGGACAACTATGTCCTCCTGCTCCTTGTTCCTCTGGTTGAGCAGCTCCTGCCGACGGTTCCGCTCCCACTCCAGCTGCCTCTGCCTCTCCAGCTCCCGCTTGGCAGCCTGGGGCATTCCAGGAGAAAGGGAAAAATAAAGCAGAAAGGGAAATTTATATGATTTATATAATTATATACGATAAAACATACGATATATAACTCAAAAATACATTTAAAATAAATAAATATAATTGCTAAACGCATATAATTGCTATTATAATTCATAATTGCCGTTATAATTAATATTCTAATGAGCAATTAAACCATTAATAAAAACACACTCCTAGGTTGCTCTGTGCCTCTAAGCACACAAATTGCTCAGTGCTTTAAATGCTCACTGAGGTGGGGCTCCCCTGCACAGCAGAGATGACTAAAGAGAGAATCCCTTCATTTTCACCTTTCCCAAGGTCCAGTTTTCTGATTTACCAACTTGTTTCATATTAAGACTCATATTAAGTGAAAACACTCCAGGAAAGTATCAAATCCCTTTCCAACCCCCACCACTGGACACCCTGCAGCTTTGCAAAGAACAGCCCAGTGCTCTGCACTGGACTCATCATTGTTTGGCAGTGGGAGACAATGAGAGCTTTTTGAGTTCCCCAGGGTGTGTTTCCTTTGACAAATTAAAGGCCTGGCCCAAATCACAGGCCAGGTTGGATGGAGCAGCCTGGGCTAGTGGAAGGTGTCCCTGCCCACGGCAGGGGTAGGGACTGGATGATATTAAAGGTCCCTTCCAACCCAAACCATTCTGGGATTCTGTAAAATCACCTCATCACTGGCAAATCATGAATGCCATAGGTTTTTCTTCATCCACTCAAGCATCTCGTTATATAAAATAATCATTATTATTATTTTTAAAGGAGTCAGAGGTCAGGAGCACGCTGTCCTACACTGAAACGTCTCACCCATTCACTCCACAGGAAGAATGAAGGGATTGCTGGTTCTTCCTTACCTCCAAGCCCCCAGAAATGTGGGTTCATGCTCCCAGTGTTGCTCACTCCCAATGCCAGCCCAGTCCCGAGTGCCCATCTCCCGCCTGGTCCCTGCCCAGCCCCCGACCCAAGCTCTGCTCCGCCGTTACCTCTCTCCTCTCTATTTCCTTCCTCCTTTCCTCCTCCCTCTGCCGCTCCAGCTCCCGCTGTTTCTCCAGCTGTTTCTCCAGCTCCAGCTGCCTCTTGCGCTCCTGCTCCTGCCGCTCGCGCTCCTTCCTCTCCTGCTCGGCCCTCTCCAGCTGTGCCAGCCGCTCCTGCTCCTTGCGCTGCTGCTCCAGGAGCGCCTGGCGCCGCTTCTCCAGCTCCAGGTTCCCCCGCTCGAAGTTCTCCCGCTTCTTGTCCTCGAACGTGACTGTGGGGTGGGGGACGGGGGGCAGAGAGGGGAATGAAGCTGTCACTGGCTCACACCAGTCTATATGATGTGAGTCCGAGTGCTGAATCCAAGTGGAACAAGCTCCCAGCAGGAGCAGGTGCTGCTCCCCACTGCGGGTAATGGAGTTCCACGGGTCATTCTGGGGTTGAGCATTGTGCTGCTTTGAAACCCCCAAAAATCCAATTCCCGAGTCCAAGCCCCCCTCCCACAACTCACCCCAGTGTAAGAGGGGTTTTCCAGACACAACACAGGGCTCACTATGGGGGGAAGGGAATTATATTACAATAACCACACAAAGAAATATTATAATACATTATATACACAATCCTAACTACTTCTCCTATGATAAAGCAATATATTTACATTGGATCAAATCTCTTTTCCCTCCAATAAAAGTTCAGAAGGGAAGAAGGAAAGATCCCTTCCACTTTCAGGGCAGCAGTCTCTCTCTTCTCCCATGCAGCAGTTGGAATTGGAATTGTAGCTGGATCTCTTTCCATTACACACAAGGGGTCTCCTCTCACCCCTCTCAGCCCTTCGACTCCAAGCAAAGGTCTCTGGACTGCAATAGTCAGGACAAAAGCTCCCTTCACCCCGTCATATCACGGGGTGTAACACATCCCATGAAGGTCCCTTCCTTGAGGGGTCGAGTTCCCTCGAGTCAGAACATTTAGGGCAGCTTTCAGTTCAGTCTTTGCCTTAAGTGTTCCATCAGAGCTCCTGTGCTCTCTCTCAGTCTGCCAGCCTGGCCAGCATTTACACTGTCGAGCCCCTCAAACCCACATCCTCAGGAAGCCAAGGTGTGCATTTCCATCCCCATTCCTCAGGCTTCCAGGTCTGGAAGTCCAGCAAGTGGGAGTAATTCAGGCAAAGCATTCTCCAGGTGATCCTCTGTGAGGACACAGGACCACTGGATAACTGCAGCAGTCCCAGAGCCAACACTTCCATCAGAGCAAGGCCAAGGATTCAGCTGGTGACATCATCAAAAAGCCATCATGCCAATGACCAGAATGAACTTACACTTGATATTCTCCCAAGATCACTCATTACTGCCAGGAAAGAAGTGGCTCAAGTTCTGGAGCAGCTGAGCCCAGGGAGTCTGGATTCCTGCACACCCACATCCTCACCACTGGCCTAAAAGTGACCTCAGTTCCAGCAAGGTTCCCTGACATCCCTCTGCAGGATCAGGGATTGTCCTCCCTCCAAATTATTCTTCCCACTTCACCTTCTGTTCCTTTTCATAGCCTCTGTGTCCCACTCCCACACCCTGCAGTCCAGATTTCTCTCCCTGCATGCCCAACATGGACATTTTTGGGATGCAAGGCAAGAGACAGCACATATTTCCTCCCAAGTGTGCACACACTGTTGAACACATCAGTCCAACAGCTGCTGAACCAGCTGAATTCTTCTCAAGTTTGTCCCCTTCTCCTGTTGCCAATTCCCTTTTCTCTTCCTTTTGTTCTTTTCCCAGAACTGCTGGAAGTTGTATAAAACCCCCACTGTTACACGGACTGCGAGGAAACGGGGCTCTGTGGGAATCCTGGGATCTTTCACAGAGCACCCAGGCCAGAGGAGGAAGGCAGCAGAGAGTCTTCCTTGCAGTCCTGGAACAGGGATGCAAAGTGCTGCCTGTGGGAGTGCAGGAGAGGAGCAGACTGGAGGCTGTTCCCACCTCCAGTGTCACCAACACAAAGGAGCAGGAAGGAGCTGGACCCAGCAGTGTCTTGGTGATGCCTCTGACATGTCCCAAACTGCTCTGCAGAGGCAGCACTTCCCAGTCAGGCTGTGGAACCCCCAGCAGAGGCCTCATGGGAACATCCCTCTGGGAGCACAAAATATCCCTCCTGGAACACGAACTATCCCTCCTGGAACACGAACTATCCCTCCTGGAACACGAACTATCCCTCCTGGAACACAAAACATCCCTCTTTTCACCTGCTCACCTGGTAATTTCTTTTCCAGCTGCTGCTGTTCTTCCTCTAATGCTGGTTCTTCTGGTAACCTTTGGTCTACAGACACTGAGCTGGCAGCAGAAATCCCACTGCCAGAGCGGACTCTTCTGCCAAGAAAACAGGGATTTCAGGGGCTTAGGACAACCTATTCCTGCCCAAATTATTCAGGATTAACGAGGAAACCAAATTCAATGCAATGATGTAACATTTCTGATGTTTAATATTCTTTCAGAGGGTTTTACTCAGGCATTCCCTTAGGATAACATTATTCCCCAGAGTCCCAACAGCTCTCCCTGGGGACCTGAGAAACCCAGTTCCAATTCTCCATGAAACTTCCCGATATGTCCAGCCCTGTCCCCAAAATCTCTCACCAGTGCCCAATCTGGAGCTGGTTTTTAAACTACAGCACAAGCAGCAGAGACAGAGGAAGAGCTCAGTACAGTCAGGCTAAAAGCAAGATCCCAGGTGGAATACACAGAACACTGGGAATCTTCAGGAGGATACCTGAAGCATGCAGTATGCAAACATTTCTTTCCATTTTAATGGACTGTCTTCCCACCCCATTTCTCCACAAAAAAAAGGTGAAATAGAGAAAGAGAAGTGATGAGTGACCACAGTTTTCACAGATCCAGCTGTACCAAGGGGGCTGAATGTGGTACAGTGTAGATCCATAACATGTCTGGAATTCCAATACATTCCACTTGCTCCAAGGAAGTGTAAGCTTTAGATTCCTATGGCCAGGCTAAGCAAGTTTTGGAAGGTGTGTCAGCATAAAGCACCCACCAAACCGTTCTGAGAGGACAAGGACAGGGGTCACTGCTCAGGCTGCTGTGCTTTACACTCCCAGGACAGCTTTCCCAGATGGAACACAAATTCAGGAGTGACGTTCCCAAGTGTTACCTAAAGGAAGGTGGGATAAACTCTGGAGGCAGTGCAGGGGGCAGGGGCTGCCCAGCCATAGCTCCATCAATGAGGTGCATGGCCAGGATAAACTCCTCAGCTGTCAGCTTCCCATCCTGGTCGATATCAGACAGATTCCTTGGGGAGGGAAGGGGCAAAGTAAGGAAATGAGTAAATATTAAAAATCACCGTTCAAAAGCATCATTTTAACATATTCAGTTCCAAATTAATTCATTTTTTTCCACACTACTTTTTTCCAAAACAAATGAAGAGCAAAACCCATATGCTCCCCTTCTTCCCATATTTCTCATGGATGTCTGCCTTGTAGCCATGGCTTCTCCTTCTCCTGCCCTGAGTGCTCCCTGCACCACGGGGAGAAGGGACATGAACCAAGGGAGTTCTCCTGAACAGCTTGTAATCATCCACTGCCCAACATCACTCAGAAAAGAACCAGCTCAGGTGTTTGGCAGAACTTTTTGGTTTGGTCTCCCTCTTCCCTGAAGGCTCCCCCCTCACATTCCCGAGCTCCCACTGGCATTGAAATCCAAGCCATTAACCTTCTGATCCTGACAAGTACAAAAGCACTCTGGCATCATGCACTTATTAAAAATCATGGAGTAACAACCCAAACCAGAGCTCAAAACCATGCACAAAATGCTTTTGCTCATGTTAGGGAGGTACTGGACAAAATTAACAGCCTAAACTTTGTCCAGGGACAGGACCCAGGGAAGGGCTGGAGCTGGGAGAGGGCAGGCTCAGGGTGGATCTCAGGACAAGGTTCTTCCCCCAGAGGGTGGTGGGCAATGACCAGACTCCCCAGGGCAGTGGGCACGGCCCCAAGGCTGCCAGAGCTCCAGGAGGGTTTGGACAACGCTCTGAGGGACAGGGGGGAGTGTTGGGGTGTCCTGGGCAGGGCCAGGGCTTGGACTGGATGAGCCTTGGGGGTCCCTTCCAGCTCAGGATTTGTTTCTCTAGCCTGCTGCACTCCAATCTCCCATGGTAATGTGACAATCAAAGGCAAAGAAGGGATATATTATTTTGATGTCCCAAGGCACAGGACTTTGTTGATGGGATTTAAATTTGGAAGACAATTCCAACCTCATTTGATCCATGGCTTGTGCCACTGAACTCCACAGGCTGGAGGCAAGAACGAGCCAGGAGAATGAAAATCTAGGGTGCAAAGAAATAATTGCTCAGCTCCTCCAGCAGCCTGGGTCCACATTTTATCAGGAACTCCCAGGGCAGCCGAGAGGCCACACTTGCCTTTGTGTGTCTGAGTGAGTTCAGTGCCAGCACAGCCTGATAAACCCTCTGCTCTCCCAGAGAACAGCACCTGCAGCTCCACTGGCCAGGAAAGGGACCCACATTTAGGACAACAAGAGCTGTAACATCCATTCCTTATCTCCATGGATAGTTTGGATGTCCAAAAATTGACATTTTGGCAGTTTGAATGTCCAAAATTGAATGAGTTCTGTGCAGAACTCCTGGAGTTCACTGGTGGCTGACCCCTGTCCACACAACCCACTTCCAGGCTGGCAACAAGCTGAGTGTTTTTTGGAAAATCATCTGCTGGATGATTGGGCTGATTTATTTTTATCCCTTTGTTATGAAACAGAGAAGGGAAGAGTGGTTTTTAATAATATATAACAAAACTATCAGTGCTTTGCAAAGAGAGCAAGTGCAGTTCAGGTGAGTGAGCTCCAATGGTTTGCAAGCAAAGACTCATAAAGAAGAGAAATTAATTAGGAACAATTTCCCATATGACAATAAGAATATCATAAAGCTCAGCAAACAACAAGTTGAAAGGAAAGAGAGGCTGAGACAAATCCTTTTAAAATCCCTTATTGTAAACATCTGTAACTCCAGTCCCTGGGAAACCAGCCCTTCCAAACTCATGGAAAAGGCAGAGAAAGCCCAAAGGAAGGGTGGCTCGGGTTAAGCTTCCTGTTGTACAACCTGTGCAAAGGTAAAGGTTTCACTGGTGCTGCCTCACATGGGGCCAGGGATGTGGGAGGCACAGGGTGCTGGAATCTGCTCTGCCTAAAAACCCCTCCCTGAACCCCAACTGCCTGAACATCACACAGAACATGCTCCTGGTACTTTTGGGAATATTAATAAAGACACAGAAGTGCAGCTTTTGTTTGATAAAGTAACACACAAAAAAGAGAAACATGTGATTTATCAGAGACTGAAAATGGAGAAAACCCCCCAGAACCCAGTGCAGAGGTTTAAGAACAGTTTGTGTTTGGAGGGCAATGAACAGATTTATTTTTACCATATTGTGGCCAGCTGAGCCTGGGGCAAACTGGACTGCATGAGGATCGTTCTGGCTTGGGGACCTGAAAGTGAAACAAATATTAACAAACAAACAAGCAACACTGCAGAGGTGTGATCAGCATCTGTTATTTGTTATAACAGGTGTTATTTGGCTCCCCAAATAACAACTACATTATCCTTCCCTTCTGCACAATTACCATGGAATCCCAGACTGGTTTGGGTGGGAGGGAACCTCAAAGCCCACCCAGTGCCACCCCCTGCCATGGGCAGGGACACCTTCCACTGGCCCAGGTTGCTCCAAGCCCCGTCCAACCTGGCCTTGGACACTTCCAGGGGCAGCCACAGCTTCTCTGGGCAACTAAATAATTTAGATTAAAAACCAAAAAGCTCTGAAACACAAACAGATGCACCAGAACTGGGAAAGCTTAGCCAGGGAACCAGTCTAGGTTCTTGCTGGAACTGGCCAGGTGCTCCCAGCAGAGGGTGAGCTGAACACTGGAAATGGCTGCACAGGTTCTCACAGAACCCACTGCGCCCTTTTCCAGAATGATTTCCCAGGGTCAGTTTATTTGGCAGAAAATAAGGGAGAGATGGTGCTAAAATGATCCCAGTTACGATGAATATCCACTTCTAAACAAGCCCATTAATCACTTGGGAGAGTGAAACAGGAAAACAGTGATGAGTCTCTTACTATGTGAACAGTGAGATTAAAACTGGCCTTTCCCAGCTGGAAAAAGGGAGACAACAAAAACTGTTGCAGTACCTGTCAAGTGTCCACTCATGGTTTTGTCGTGGCTGTTGAAGAGCTGCCGGTACTTGAGGCGTGAGGACTGAGGGACAGCCCACTCTGCCGCGGGGGGAGCACTGCAACCACAGACAGGGCTCGTCAGGGGGATCGTGGCAACACCAGGGCTCAGTCACAGAGTCTCAGAAGGGTTTGGGCTGGGAGGGGCCTTAAAGATCATCCCATCCCACCCCCTGCCATGGGCAGGGACACCTTCCACCAGCCCAGGTTGCTCCAAGCCCCGTCCAACCTGGCCTTGGACACTTGCAGGGATCCAGGGGCAGCCACAGCTTCTCTGGGCAGCCTGAGCCAGGGGCTCAACAGCCTTACAAGGAGGTGAAGTGCTGCACAGAAATCAAGTTTTACACCTGAAAGGGTTCTTTTGCCCAGTATTGGGAAGGAATTGCTCCCTGTGAGGGTGGGGAGGCCCTGGCCCAGGTTGCCCAGAGAAGCTGTGGCTGCCCCTGGATCCCTGGAAGTGTCCAAGGCCAGGCTGGAGCTTGGAACAACCTGGGCTGGTGGGAGGTGTCCCTGCCCATGGCAGGGGGTGGGATGAGATGAACCCCCACTGCAGGGGGGTCTCCCCTGAGGGGCAGAGGGGCACAATCCCCCCCTGCCCTGCTGCCCACGCTGGGGGATCAGCCCAGGGCACGGGGGGGTCTGGGCTGGGCCATGTCCAGCCTCTCCCCCACCAGCACCCCCAGGGCCTTCTCCCAGGGCTGCTCCATCTGCTCATCCCCAGCCTGGATTGATCCTGGGGATGCCCCAGTCCAAGCACCGGCACTTGGCCTTGTTAAACCTCAGGAGATTCCCAAGGGCCACTGCTCCAGCCTGTCCAGGTCCCTCTGGATGGTCCCATCCTTCAGGTGTGTCCCTGCAGCCTCAGCTTGGGGTCACCTGAAAGCTGCTGAGGGTGCCCCTGAGCCCTGTGTGTCACTGGGGAAGGGATCAGCTCCCACTGGTCCCAGTATGGAGCCCTGGGGACACCACTGATGGCCAGCAGGACTCTGAGCCTTGTAATAATCTAAAAGCCCTAAATATAAAAAGGTGATTTTTCACTCAGAACTTGAAGAATAGAGAAGAAACAAGTGTGTGGAATGCATTTAAAATACGAGAGCTATTAAACAATTTGCTTTTAAAAACAACCAAGAGTTGTCAATTTGAAATGATACATTACTTGTGTTGTCACACTTCCAGGAGTGTCTGTGCAGTACTGCACAGCCCGTGTTGTGTTTACAGGAGCAAAGGCTTTTCTACAAATTAAGTTTTCAAGAGCTTGAGAACAGTGTCAACACTGTTAGTAGTTAATTATTGTATTTCCATGATTTCCTGCTCCTGGAGCAGTCCCTGTCAAACCACAGCATCCCGTGAAAGGCTGGAGTGGTACCTCAGCAGGGATTGGTTTCTGCAGGAAATATTATTTCAGAAAACAACTTTGTGAAAGAGAAGGGAGCTTTTCCAAGTGTGGGGGACCCAAATGCCCTCATTTACCCAGCCCCTGCCCCACGACCCACCTGGGCACATCGAAGGACTGTGCCTTCTGCAGCTTTGCATTGAGCTGAGCTCCTGGCCCGGATCTGCTGAAGGAAGAACTCTTTGGCAATGTGGCTGTGAAGGAGAAAACAGGGATTTATCAGTGCTAACACTTCAAACTGGAGAATGTCCAGGGCATTCAGTCAGCTCCTAACACGACACAAGCACTCTGGGCCTGATGGGATCTCTTTAACAATATAAAGGTAAGGGAGTCCAACAGAACAGGGGGAAACACGAGGGCTCTTCCCTTGGGGTTTTTTTTCCTTCTGCAGTTTTCTGCAAACCCTGTTGACATCAAAATACATTGTGGATAAACGATCTGTAGCCCAGTATTTTACAGCCCTCCTAACCAGCAGTACTTAGTCATAAAGAGACAGGAGAGGCCCAATTTCCTGGCACCAGGTGATTTCTCTGACCGCTGTTCCATTTTCTCCCCGTGACAGACTCCTGCGGTGGGACACGTCCACACTCCTCCTTTAACTCTCCTCCCAGTGCCACCCAGTGCCACCGGGCTCGAGCCCAGCCCAGTCCTTACCCAAAGGCATCCTTAGAAAGGCTGATGCCCCGTGTGCTGCCCCCTGGCTCCGGGGGGAGAGGCAGGGCAGGGTTAATAGCAGAGGAGGGAGGTGAGCGTACCGGGGTGAGCGAAAGCAGGCAGAGGCTGGATGACAGCGGGAGCTCCGTTAGCCAGGGGAGGGACGGCGGGGACGTTGGACACTAACGGGGGGGACATCCCCACCACCGGCATGGAGGCCATGGGCACCGGGGCCACGGAGCTGAGGGGGGGCATGTTGGCAATGCCCCCGAGACCTACGGGCGAGAAAGGAGAGAGTTGTGCTGGGTGAGACACTGGAGACAACGCCTGCAGCCTCCACAGGGTGGGGAGAGAATCCCAGTGAGAACCTACACCCCCCAGGGCAGAGGGAGCAGCACCCCACTGAGGGTGTGAGCACAGAACACCACGCTGGGTGCTGCACTGCCCCAGGAAGTCCCTGAGGGTTTGCTAAGAGAGGAATTGTTTGCCTGAGCACAGAACACCACACTGGGTGCAGCACTGCCCCAAGAAGTCCCTGAGGGTTTGCTAAGAGAGGAATTGTTTGCCTGGAACTGAAGGAAGAGCAGCACCATGAGCTCCAGGCAGCCTGTACAAGGAGCTGCAGGATCAGTGCTCCCAGCTCTTGCTGGGATGAAACGGGGCAAAGCTAATGGGGACAGCACAGTAATGGGTGTTTTAGGGGTGAGCAGAGTTACAGGGAGAACAGGGAGGTTAAAAAGGGCCAGTCAAGCCAGTGGAAAGAACAAGCAAACAGTTGGGATCGAGTGTACAGGGAATGAGAGAAAGGGAATCCCAGATTTTGCTGATTTTTGTAGGGGGTTAAATTTATTCTGCCTTTTCTCACTTAAACCTGTATTTGCTCTGTCCAGTTTCATTGTTTTCTTAAGGTTTTATTTGTGACTGTAAAACCTGAGTGGCAGCAGATCAAACCCCATTGCTGCAGGCAGCTTATCAGAGGCACTGTTCCCTTTTCTTAGGACATTTAGGTGGGATATTGGGAAGGAATTCCTGGCTGGGAGGGTGGGGAGGCCCTGGCCCAGGTTGCCCAGANGAAGTCCCTGAGGGTTTGCTAAGAGAGGAATTGTTTGCCTGGAACTGAAGGAAGAGCAGCACCATGAGCTCCAGGCAGCCTGTACAAGGAGCTGCAGGATCAGTGCTCCCAGCTCTTGCTGGGATGAAACGGGGCAAAGCTAATGGGGACAGCACAGTAATGGGTGTTTTAGGGGTGAGCAGAGTTACAGGGAGAACAGGGAGGTTAAAAAGGGCCAGTCAAGCCAGTGGAAAGAACAAGCAAACAGTTGGGATCGAGTGTACAGGGAATGAGAGAAAGGGAATCCCAGATTTTGCTGATTTTTGTAGGGGGTTAAATTTATTCTGCCTTTTCTCACTTAAACCTGTATTTGCTCTGTCCAGTTTCATTGTTTTCTTAAGGTTTTATTTGTGACTGTAAAACCTGAGTGGCAGCAGATCAAACCCCATTGCTGCAGGCAGCTTATCAGAGGCACTGTTCCCTTTTCTTAGGACATTTAGGTGGGATATTGGGAAGGAATTCCTGGCTGGGAGGGTGGGGAGGCCCTGGCCCAGGTTGCCCAGACAAGCTGTGGCTGCCCCTGGATCCCTGGGAGTGTCCAAGGCCAGTTTGGACGGGGCTTAGAGCACCCTGGGCTGGTGGAAGGTGTCCCTGCCCATGGCAGGGGGAGGCACTGGATGGGCTTTGAGGTCCCTCCCAACCCAAACCAGTCTGGGATTCTCAAGCATCAATAAACCTGAGTCACAGCAACGACTAACCCAGAAAGGTAAAGACCCTCTTCCCGCAGGACACAGGGGAACATCAGTGTGTCAAGCAGGAGGTTTGCCTTCACTTGGCTATTTTCCTCTTCCCATCCCATTTTCCCTACTCTCCCTTGAAATGATGGTGACTTTGGCAGCACTTAACCCCCAGGACTGAACCAGCAGCTCATGCCAGAGCAGCACCATTCTTAAAACAAAAGCAGAAGGTGCTCATAAAAACTCAAGGAAAACAGAGCTAACCCTGCCAAGGCTGGAGATGTCATAACGCCGAGCTGGAATCTAAACTCCAGCACTCTGGGATGCACCAGCCCTGCTGCCTGAGCCACCTTTTGTCTGGAGCAGTGTCAGGCCTGAAGCAAACAGGACCTCAGCTCATGGTACTGTGCTCAAAGCCCAGTGCAATTTGAGGGGGGGGGCACATGCAGCACCTGGCTTTGAGTTCACATCCCTTTAGAAGCTCTTTTTCCTAAAACTTTCTTTCAGAAACTGCCAAATGTCCCCCCTGTTCAATGGGGGTGCTGCAGTGCAAGCCAGCAAGGAGGACAAGGGAGCTCACCAAATCCTGGGGCGCCGGGCAGGGCGAGGGGCGGCTGCTTCATGACGGGGGGCAGAGCAGAGGGGAGCTGGTACCCCTGGAGCTTCAGCTTGATGAGCTTCATGGCGATGGAGAACTCCAAGGGATCCATCCTGCCATCATTGTTCATGTCAGCTAGAGCCCTGCAGGACACACACAGTCACAGCCTGGGATCAGCAACTGCAACACACCCGGATGGACATTCCAGGCTGAGGAAGGAACAGAGCTGGGAAGGGGCTGGAGCAGCAGGAGGGGCTGAGGGAGCTGGGGGGGGCTCAGCCTGGAGAAAAGGAGGCTCA